GTTAGGTTGTTTGTTTGGTAGGTTGGTTGTTTGTTCGTTTGTGTTCACCTGCTTGTTCAATTATGTGTTATGTGTTGTGCGCGTGTGTGTGTGTGTGCGTGTGCGTGCGCGCGTCCGTGAGATTATGCGTGTGCATGTGCGTGTGAGTGTGCGTGTGCGAATATGTGTGTGCGTGTGCGCGTGTGTGTTTGTGTTTGTGTGTGCGTGTTTTTGTGAGCATGTGTGTGTATGTTTTTGTGTATGTGTATGTGTGTGTGTTTGTGTGTGTCTGTGTGTATGCCTGTGTCTGTGTGTATATGTGTGCATGTGTGTATGTGTTTGTGTTTGTGCGTGTATGTATGTGTGTGTGTGTGCGTGCGTGCGTGCGTGCCTGCGTGCGTGTGTTTGTGCTTGTGTGTGTTGTTGCGTGTGTGTCTTCATGTGTGTGTGTTTGTGCTTGTGTTTGTGCTTGTGTTTGGTTGTGTGTGCTTATGTGTGTGTGTTTGTGTGTGCTTGTGTTTGTGTTTCTGTGTTTATGTGTTTGTGTGTGGTGTGGGTGAGTTTGTGTGTGTGTTTGTGTGTATGTGTGTATGTGTATGTGTGTGTCGTGTATGTGTCGTCTGTGTGTGCGTGTGTCGTGGAAGCCTTAATTTGCATACAGCGTGTCCCCTGTTGCCAATCCGCCGGAGCAGTCACTGTCTGCCCATCCGCCGACACAAACAAATGTGTGTGTTGTGTTTGTGTTTGTGGTGTGTGTGTTCCTTGTGCGGGATTGATTCCCCACCACCACAATACGGAATATATGTGTGGTTCGCCCCCTTGGCAGGGGCCCGGGTGGGGGGAGGAGAGGAAGGAGGAGGAGGAGGAGGAGGAGGAGGAGGAGCAAGAGGAGGAGGAGGAGGAGGAGGAGGAGGACAAAAGGAAAGGAGTGGAGAACGGGGTGAGAGCGGAGGAACGAACCGGAGTTGGAAAGAGAGTTGAAACTTTTTGGGGGCCGGGAACCCCCCACACTCATCAAGTCTGGAGCTCGGACTGAAGGGGGGGGGGGGGGGGCGCGAGGCAAACGGAGCTGGCCTCGCAGGCGTGGGGGGGGGCTCGGGTGCGGGCTTGGGCCCACTGCTGGCGGGACCAGGCAGACGGGCGGTCCTGCAGGCGGGATGGGGCAGGCACGGGGGGGGGGTTGACGGTGCATGTTCGAGGACCGAGGTTTTTTTTTCGAAGTCCGTGGTCCTCCAGAGGCCCTCGGAGATCCCCAGGTGCACCCGTGAGACCTCCAGAACATTTCGGGGGGCCTGCTTGCGGTCTCCTCTGGGCAGCGCCTGGCATCCTTTGAGGCCCCCCCCCCCGCACCACCCTCCACGCCCCGTTCCGCGCCCTTCCGAGGCTCGACTCCGGGAGGCTCAGCATCGCCGTGAACGGCATCGTGCTCACCGTCGCTGGGGCCAGCAACACCCCTCCCTCCCTCCCTTTCCCCCGCCCTTCCTGCCTTTCCCCTCCTCCCTTCTTCCCTCAGGAGGGGAAAAACACACGCTGACACAATCAATCGTCGATCCCCAGGAAAATACGGGAAAATATGGGAATCGTGCGGGAAGATACAAACACAGAACATGTGTGAAAATATGGGGAATCATTGTATTTGTGTGTATTTATGTGTGTGTCCTTGGGCCCCTTGATTTCCCCCCTCCTCCATCCCGGTTCCTCATAGATAGCTCCTCACCGGACCGTCGCACCCTCAGTCGTGCCGGTAGGGCGGGCGGGGCGTCTGTCGCCTCATGTCTTCCGCATCCTGTCGTGGTCCTGGGCCACGACATTCGCAACAGTTTTGCGGATGAAGGGGGGGGCGTTTTTCAAATGCGGTTTCCGCCCCGCACGCGCCCCCGCCCCGTCCTCTTCCTCCTCCTTCTCCTCCGTAGCCATTTTGGCTCAAGGCTAAACGTAACGAAGGTTCAAGGAACCGAGGAGTTGCGATTAGCCTTGGACCCATCCGTAGCCTCCTGGCTCAGTGATCGGGGCGCCCCGCGCGCGGGCCGCCGCATGCCTGTGGCGTCTCTCGGCGTCAAGAAGCCGAAGAAGCTGAAGAAGGGCCCGAGGAAGCACGACCTGGATGGCGACAACAGCGACGCCTCTGGGACTACTGCCGCCCTGCCTCCAGGTGGCTCAGGTGCTTCTGCTGCTCTTTCTGCTGACAACCTCCCTGCCCCTGCTGATGGCGACCCTGCTCATGGCGCTCATGGTGAAGATGAAAATGAAGATTGGGGCTGGGAAGAAACTGGACCTGACGAGTACACGAGGTACCTGGCGAAGGAGGAGGCCACCAAGCTGCTACGCGAATACAAGCAGACGATGCTGGACTCCATCAAATCCACGGTGGACGAAGCCATCAACCCCTTCGCCGAGCAGCTCTCCAAGTACGCCGAGTCCGCCGCTGAACTGGCCCAAGGGGTCAAGGACCTCCCCAAGATGGTGGACGATGCTGCTGCTAAGCGCCTGGATGGTCAGAATCGCAGCCTTCAGGAACAGATCGACGGGATGCACATTCGTCTGCGTGCCCATGAGACCAGACTGGACACCCATGACTCCGACATTTCCTTCCTCAAGGCCGAGATCAGCAAGCTGCGCGAGCTCCTCGCCGTCGCCAACGATGTCCCAAAGGCCCCGCTGCTCTCCGCCGCCGGCTTCGATCGTGACACCGACCCGCGTGCCATCAAAGCCATTGCAGCCAAGCTCACGGCCCTCGACCAGGTTCACCAGACCCTTTCTGATTGGATCGCCGAGGTCGGTGTTGAGCCAAAATTCTTCAAGATCTCTTCCCCTGAGGCTGTCAGCCGCAGCTTCTCCATTAACTTCGCTGGGGCACCAGCCCCCGCTGCCCGTCGAGTTGCCGAAGCTCTCGGTGCCCAGCGCCTCGGGCCTGGCCAATGGGAGCGCATCGAGACCACCGCTGCAGACGGACAGTCCGCGGCTCTGCACATCGGCCCCGACAAGAATCCGCGTCAGATTCACGTGGAGATGCAGGCACGGAAAATTCGGGACGCCTGCAAAGAGATCGATTCTTCAAAGCGCTGGTACGTGGGCAAAGACCGAGGATATGTCATGGCTGGCTGGGGACCCGATTCTCAAGATCAGCCCGAACCCTGGCAACGCACCATCCACGCTCAGCTGGGCCGACAACCTCATCACCAAGCTTGGTCTTCCGAAGCAGCAGTTATAGGCAGCTGCTGCCGCCGTCGTCGCGCCGCCTGAATCGGCTGAGTGGTGTCTTTAGTGGGCTGGGAAGATTACTTCGTGGAGTGTATCGCGGGGGCGGTTTAGTGCCCTTTACTTTCTGGAACGCTCGGGCGCTTCTTCAATGCCAGGGTGCTCACTCCAAGGTGAAGCTGGACTACTTCCGTCGTTTAGACTTTTTGAATGGGGTGGTCTGCCTTCAGGAGGTGCATCAAGATGCTGCACAATTGCAAGACTTTATTGGGAAAGCTCATCGGGGCGTGCGCATCTTCTCTTCCCACTGCGAGGAATCGCTAGTGAAAAGGCGGGGTCGCTACAAGTTTGCCTGCCCCCTGCCCCGCGATGGTTCACGCTGGCGAGCTTGTTCCAGAACGGGTGCTCCGTCTTCATCTGCAACAAGAAGGGCGCCATCTTTTCCACTACAATGCAAACAACCATGGTATCAACGGCGCCCCATTCCTGAAGATAGGCAAGGCGCTTGGTGCTGATATCAGCGTTGCTAGAAGTTCTCCGTTGACGGCCGCTGCGGTAGCACATGGGAACTTCAATGTTGCTGCCCCCCCCCCCTCTTCTTCTCCGCCGCCCTGGTCGCCGCGGGGGCCCAGGTAAAGGCCAACGTGCGCAATCTGCCAAGTGGTTTAAGATATTGGCACCTCTCACGGGGTTCACATCGGCCGAGAAGGAGGTGAGTGACCACGCAGCCCAGTCTCGTTCGTGCTCGCAGCGCTCAACAAAGCCTGAGGAGCATAGGAAGATCCCGAGGCGCATTTTCGAGTCAGAAGCTTTCCAGAACTTGCTGGCTACCGTTACTAGGCAGCTAGATTTCACGCCCCGCTCACCTCCCAGGCATATTGAATTCTTCAAGTGGGCAGTTAAGGAAGTTGCGCGAGATATTCGCGATCGTCTTATGCGGCGCGACTCCGAGGCGCTGGGCTCTCAGCTCTTTCTGGCGAGGCAGATTTCTCGGGCGGTTTGGCGCAATGATGGTTCCCTTGCCGCCCGCCTCCGTGCTGCGCAACAGACTGCCAGAGACTTTGTGGACATCTCGTCGGGCACTGTCTTGTTGGTCCATGCCCCCTCGTTCCAGCAGTGGAGCGAAGCGGTTCAATTGCGCCATGCCGACCTCCAACGCCGACACCTGGAGGCAGAGCTCGCCGGTGGACGTTCTACCCCTCCACTCCGCCACCAACTTCATGCTCTAGAGAGGCGTGCGTCTATCTGGTCACCTCATTCTCGTCGGCTGGTTCTCCAAGGCATTAAAGATTCAGATACTGGCGCGTCCTCAACGTCCGACAAGATTCACATGCACGGCAAGCCCGTAGAACACTGGGCACCGTTTTTTTACTGCCAATCATATTAATGTTCCCGCTGCTCGCGAGTATGTGAAGGGTCTGGTCCAGCCAATGTGTTTTGATGATGCACCGCCCCCGACCCCGTCGCTCCTTCGCGCAGTCGCCAAGAAGTTCCGTCATTCAGAACCAGGTCTAGACGGCGTTCCCTACTCGGCGTGGAGCTCGTCATCTCTTGGCCTCTCGGTGCTTTCAGAGGCCATGATGTGGATTCTCTCTGGACAGGCGTTGTTCAAGTCATCCAGCGATGCGCTCCAAGTTTGGCTACCGAAAGGAGATGGCCCTGCGGATAGCGTGGCCGCAGTTTGCTCTCGGCCCCCGTCCTCGGTTAGAGTGCTTGGGCTGCGCAATGCCGATATTAAGATCATCACGGCAACGATCAATGCACGCTCCAGTGTTCTGCTCAAAACCTGGGCCCCTCGCTCTCAGCGAGGCTTTTTCCCGCAGGGGAACTTCGGAGCGAACATTCTGGAGCGTGACACGGTCAGCAGGGTTTACTCAGATGTGCCGCCGGCCGAATCCAACGTCCCTGTCTTGGTTGCACTTGACTATGGCGCGGCTTTTCCCAGTCTCTCTCTGGAGTTCATGTGCGCGGTGCGCAAAGAGATTCAGGTGCCGCGTGCTTCTCTGTCCATCACCGACCAGTTATACTTGGAGCTCGAGGCTTTTGCAATGGCCCGCAATGCACCTACACATGCCTGGCGGGTTACGTCTGGCATAGTCCAGGGCTGCTCATTGAGCGGCCCCCTCTACGCCGCGGCCACTGCCCCACTTCTCGTCGATCTCCAGCGCCAGCTTGAGGCGCCGAGGAAAGGCATTGCGCGAGCTTGTGCCGACGACATTGGCACCGCCATCAGAGACATCCTCAGCCTGTCCATCTTAGCTGACATCATGCTGCTCGCCGAAAGATCTGCCACGCTGCCTTTGAGGATCGACAAATGCAACCTCGTTTCGCTGCACAAGCCGTTCTCGAAAGCTGTGGCAGCGGAGGTTCGCTCGCTGCTCTGTGCACATGTTCCATTCTTCAACCGCATCAGCATAGTCGAGTCCCTCAAGTACCTTGGGCTTATTCTTGGTCCTGCAGCCGATGCAAACTCGTGCTGGGCAGCTCCTGCGATGAAGGCTCATGAACGATCCAAGTTGGTTGGCCACAGTCACCTTCCTATGTCTCGCTTGCCAGTTCACCACAACACCCGCATCGCCACAGCGCTGTCTTACGTCGCCCAATTCCGTCTGATGCCGCGGCGGTTAGTGCAGAGCGAACTTGTGGCCTTGTCACGTTCTTTTCGTTTGCCCTTAGGTGCTTCCTCGATGCCCGCGCGGCTTCAGTTGTGCTCGGCGGGTGGACCGACGATTTCCTCATGGCTGGCGATGAGCACTGGGCCCCTACTTCGTACTGCTTACCGTGCCCGGCCAGAGTTCGAGCGGCTGCATTCGTGGCTCTACCGTCAGCGCAGTCGCCTAGGATATCATCTCACTCGCTCAGTTGTCATCATCTCGGCCATGCCCCGCCTTCTGGCGCAGTGAGGCTTCCGTGGGGACGCTGTTCAACATCAAGCACGGTCCGCTCCAGTCCACGATCTACACACACGAGCTGCTGTCAATTGCGCGACAGGCGGCTACGCACCGTCTCCTCGTCCAGCCTTCTGGTGTGGGCCTGCAGAAGTGCATGACGTTGGCGGTCAAGAAGCACCTTATCTCTCGTCCACTTTGGAACTTACTGGTGGTGCGGCTCGCCCTCGCTCATCCCGACATGTACTGTGAGGGTGCATCTAAAGTACCTGCGGTGATATGGTCCCACATCACGAAATATCTTCGCTCTTGTTCAACCGCGTGGGCTATGGCATACTTGAAAACTGTTGCCAACGGATGGGCTACGTCTTCCCGCATTCTTGGTGACCGTGGGCGCCTTCCCTGCCGCTTCGGTTGCGCGGGCGCGGCAGACCAGCTCAAGCACTATCTCTCGTGCCCGAAGTTCCGCAACATCTGCGAGGAGGTGTTCGGCTTCTCTCGGCCTGCTCACCCGCTTGGTCGTCTGGGCCCCTTCGGATCCGCGGTGGATATCGGCAAGGTGGTCTTCGACATCGTGGTGATGCACTTCGCCTACCATGCGGCGCCCCACGATGCCCCACCTGGGGCCTGGTCACCTGCTTTCGCGCGCTCTCATGTCTTGGCTGCTACTCGTGCTGTTCCTCTCGGAGCGCGGCGACCTGATCATCTACCGTGGCGGCGGCCCAGGCCTTCGGTGCCAAGGCGCAAACCAGCGGCCTCATCTTCTTCGACGACCTCTTCTTCCTCATCGCCCACGCCGCCGTCATCGATAACCTCACCCAGCGCAGAATATTCGTCAGACAGTGAGTTTTCATCTTCCACACTTCCATCCATGAGGACCATTGGCGGCGCTTTCGGCCTCGTGAGTGGAGTTCCAGTGGCTGGCCTTGAGGCTGATGGCTTGCACGATACACTTTCGCCTAGTGGAGCGCCTACTTCGGGGGCTTTGGCAGGCAGAGAGTGCCGACCCGTGTGCTGGTGCCTCGCGGGTACGCACTGCTCACCTGCCCCACCCCGCTGCCCTGTCACTCCAGGAATTGTTGTGGCGCAGTTCCGACCCTCAGACGCACGAGGGGGCCAGTCCTCACATATGGAGGGAACTGAACGTACATCGCATCCTCCCTTTCCGCCCTTGGGGCGCACTTCTCAGCGTGACTCTGAGCGGCAACGACGTGAACTTACCAATCGGGTCACCTGCTGGGCATCTTCTTGGCTCCCACCCATCTTCTACACTGCCCCCCAGAACGACTTCGACACGTGGAGGGGCTGGTGTGTGGACTACGTCTGCGGGGTGCTTCACAATCGCGGCTTTTCCTCCCTCTTCGCGAACCACAGCCCCACCCTCACCCAAGACATGAAAAGAGCAGCTGAAGAAATATGCATGGCGGGTCGGCATTGCTCTACTCCTTCTCGCGAGCAACTACGTCAGCAACTTCTGCGCGGCACTTCTCAGAGCGATCCCGTTCTCCTTCACCGGACTTTTGTGAACGAGCTCGCTTGCACATGGAAATGATTAAATGGCGTCCTGATCCATCTCGGATGGAGGGTCATAATCGCACGCGCTTTCTTCAGTGGATGGCCACTACTACGACATGGCGTGCAGCACCTGTGTCTTCTGTGGTTCCTGCGCCCAGCCCGCTCTTCTGGTTCCCCAACTCTTCTCTTTGGCAGATGGGCGTCCGCCCTATGGGGCCCAAGCCTCTATCCAGGACGTCCGAGGAATCCTCTGTGGAGTACGAATACCTTCCCGACGATGCTACAGCTGCCCACACTGACTACCCATCGCCCACGGGCGAGGACCTCCGCACCATGGATGCAATGTGCGACAATTCTTCGCTGTCGGTCAAGGGCATTCCACCTCCATTCGAGGGCGATCTCATGAGCGATGGCGAGCACGACTACCTGTTGGCATCTGGATCATGGCAAGTACAACCACTGGTCGTACCACCCACGCCTCCGTCGTGGCCGGCGGCAAGCTCAGGCGATCCCCCGCCCCCTGGCGCCGATGTTGATGTTCTTGCTTGGCTAGGCCCTGATCGCGCGCCACCCGATGCCTCCTCTGCGGCGCCTTCGCTACATCAGGACCGCCCCCCTCCACTGCGACGTCCTGGTCTACGCGGTCACCTCGGCCAGCAACAGGATGAGACAGGGGTCGCATGAAGATCGTTGTAACGGCGCGGCGACGCATCCCGAAGCTCCTCTCCCCTTTGGTTCGCAGTCTTATAGCCATACAGTGTCGCATGATAAAGGCTGTGCTGCTACCGCCGCCTCTGCGGCAGCATCGTCGACGGCCGGCCTACCTCCTGCGCGCCATGGCGGAGAGGCACTTGTCGGGCAACGTCACCCTGGACCTCCTCATCTTCCTGGAGCTCATAGACAGCTACTCCGTCCCCGTCGGCGTCCGCCGGAGGTTCCCAGAGTGCTACTCCGCCCTCGTTTGCCTCCTCGAGTGCGCGCTGCGGGCCATGGGAGTGCGTTGGGTCCCCAGGCTGCTAACACAGGGCCTCGGGGGTTGAACGTGTCGCCGCTGCGGGAATCGCTGCAGCAAAACATTTTTGACGCGATTAACTTGCTGATTCCCCACGTCGTCTATCCATCATCGACAACCTCTTTGGTGGCGCCTGAACTTCACGTCCGCCAGCCGCTCCCCCCGTCGCGTGCGGAAAGCAGTCTCGCCATCCAGCTGCTCTTGACCCTGATCAACTTCACTTGGCGCTGCTCGCGATCCACGCCCTCTTCCCCGCCATCATGGAGGACAAGATGGGCCTGATCACTTGGCTAGTACTACATCCTAGCAACCTGCTTGAGGATGACCCGTCTGATGCTGCGGAGGCTGAAGCCACTGTTCACGACGAGCAGCCTGGACTTGATGATGATGATCTTCAAGAGGTGGTGGAGGATCCTGAGTTCCTCCCGCTTATTCATGAAGCCGACAACTGGCCGACGGACGCGACGGAGCCCGACCCGTACTTCCTCGAGCTGGCCGCGGAGATCGAGGGAGGTGTCTTCCTTGACCATGTAGCTGATGTTCATCATGAGCTTGACGGCCTCATGGGCGTCCACATCGGCGACGTCGACGACTTCGAGTCCCTCGTCGGCAACCCCCTCGACGGCGACACGGTGCCCCTGAGAGGCGCTCAGGCGGGCGCGCGCGGCTGTGCGCGAGCGCGGGTGAGGTGACGAGACGTTTCTGGGACGCTCGCTCCTCCTCCTCCTCCTCCTTTTCTCCTCCTCCTCCTCCTCCTCCTCCTCCTCCTCCCTCCTCCCCCTTCTCCTCCTGCGCCCGATTTCTTGGCAGCGCTGGGAAGATTGCCGAGATGCTGCGGCTGCAGCGAAGGCTGCATTTCCCGCGCTTCGATCTACGCACTAAGACGACCACCAGGCGCTTACGCACATTCGCATGAAAAGCGCGCAGCCACTTCACGAATGGAGGGCAGGACGCGTCCAAAATGTGGTTATCGCTTTTTACCGCTGCGCGATCGCGTTTCGAAGTGTGCAAAACATTCGCGAATGGATGGCGGCTCGTGTGTTCAACGCGGTTCCCGCCTGAGCGCCGCGCCCGTCCGTTCCAAAAGTCTGCAGCAGCTTCACGGCTGGAGGGCGGCTCTTTTTCAACATGCGGTTCTCGCGTTAGCGCCGCATGTTCGCCTCGATAGTCAGCACCCGTCTTGAGGGTTCGCACGGTTGAGGTCCCAGCAGTGGAATTCTCGCACAGTTCAGGGGGATTGCTCGGAAGCAGCAGTCGCGTTGGTGCGCGGGCGCAGAGGTCCCAGGCATGGCATGTTGGAACGATTGGGGATTCTCAAACCGTTGCCTTCCAACTGGGTGCTTCCCGCAATGAAGATATGTTCGTGCAGGGACGTATGAAAGAGGGAACTTGGAGGGAGGGTCGATTGCAACATCGTTGATTCGCTTTGGTTTTGCACTGATTCTCCTCCTCCTCCTCCTCCTCCTCCTCCTCCTCTTCCTCGTCATCCTCGTCATCCTCCCTCCCTCCCTCCCTTCCCAGCACTCTGCCCCTCCCCCGCCGGTAGGAGGCGGAAGTGCGGCGCATCCACGCCCGTGTGTCAAACCGCAGCGGACGCAAAGAATGGCCCCCCCACCCCTCCTCCTCCCTGGACTCCTTGACTCAAGGGAGGACAAACCACCTGGACTGGACAATTGGCGTTTACTTACCGGCCCCGGGCGTTTACTAAACAGCCTTGCCCTGTTCGATTCTTTCTTTGCGCGCGTACTAAAGACCTCGCGTGTCGGGGTGGTTGCTATCGGGGTGGATTCTCTACCCTCTATTGACTCCTCCCCCTACGCCTCCTCTCCCTTTCCCCCCCCCCCTCATCCGTTTCCTCCGCCTGGCCCCCCCCCCTGCCTCCCCCCCCCCCTCTGCCCGCGGCATCGGGAGGCCTCCAGAGGCCCGAAGGAGGACAGAGAAACCCCCGAAACATTGACCCTCCCCTCCTTTTCCCTCCTCCCCTCCTCCCCTTTCTCCGCCCCCCCCCCCCCTCTGCCCCCCCCCCCCGTGGCCCGCGGCGCGGCGTCGGGAGGCCTCCAGAGGCCTGAAGAGGGGCAGAGAAGCCCCAAAACATCGATCCGCGACGATACAACTCTTCAAAGCCCAAACTGCTAAGAACCATGTTGCCCATTGACAAAAATCGGGGGAGCGTAAGACCTGGGTTTGCCAAGACTCGGGTTCGCCATCGTTTTTTGACGACCGCGCCTCGGATTTTGACGAGGAGGAGTTTCGTGGGATGTCTGCAGCGGGAGGCCTCGTCAAAATGCAGGCTCGGCCTCGTCATTTTTTTGACGACATCGTCGGGGATTTCCGAATCCCTTGTACCCAGGTCTTACGTCCCCCTGAAAAAAACAAATCCTCGATCATCGGTGAGGCTCGGGCAACCTCCGTGCACGACTCTGCACCCCGCCGCCGCCGCCCGCCGCCCGCCCCCCCCCCACCCCTGCCCTCCACCCTGCCCGCGGCGCCCGCCGCCGCCCCCCGCCGCCCCCCCCGCCGGCCGCCCCTCGGGCTCCAAGCTTCCCGGAGCTGCAGCCTCCCCGGCCTTGCCTGCCAAATCCTAGCCTCGGGGGCTGCAGAGAGGGAGGGGGCGACTAGGTGGGGGTGGATATCCTGGCGTGGGCCGTGGTATTTCGCCAGATCTCGTGGCGCCCCTTCCTGTGTCCTCACGTGCCCCGGCCCCCCCCCCCCCCCCCCCTGGGCCGCGCACGTGCCGCCGGCCGTGATTTGCATCCCCCCCCTCTTGGACGCCCCCCTCTTGGCCGCCCCCGACTCGGGGGTTGCTGAAGGCACCCCTGGCCCACGGTGCCGACGGCTGTTCGCTCCCTCTTCTGGAGCCCCTCGGGCCCCCGGGTGCCTCGGGAGGGGGGATTCTCTGGAGGCCAGAGGGGCCTTCCTTGGAGATCCTGGGGCCACCTTGGGCCAAGGGCGCTTCTCAGGGGAACGAAGGATGGCATAAGCAGAGCAACTCGGAGGTCCGCGCGGAGATCTCGGATCGGCGCTGGACCCCCGCCCCTGGCGCGCCGAGCGCGCCAGGGGCGGCGCCGGAGGCGCCGCCGGGGGGC